GCAGTGAAAGAGCACTGAAAGTCTCATCAGGACATTCACCACCACCCTCCCTTAATTTATATCTTGTAGCCTTGTTTAGTAAGATCTCTCTTAAGAAATGACAAAAACTAAAAATGAGTTATTATGGGGCACCAGAAGAATCAGAGCATCACTTTTACAAAAAAATGTCTCTGAACTTTCTCTTTAAAGATGAGGAACTCTGTGTAATGTGTTATCACTAGTGTAAATCAAAGCCTCTGAGATAAGCATACATCCTAGTACATCAAATGCACGGTAAATCTCTTTGACAATGACTTTTGGATGGAATGCATTTTGCAGTTTGGATTTTTTTGGTCCTGTACTGCGTATTTTCTTACTTTCTTTCCTTGCTACCATGATGCTCTTTCTACCCCCTCTTCACCCAGAGTATGATGTTTTATTCATTTTGTGTGCTCACTGAGCTTTTTGTAGACAATGAATCATGACAGAGCTCATCTACACAAATCGATTGGCATAGCCAGAGCTGGATAAAAACTGTGATGTGCATGGAAGACTATGAAGCAGCACAGCCAGTTCCTCCTCACATGATCCACCTCTCCACTTCCATCTGTCATGAAAAGGAATGTTACTAAGCATTTTGGGTAACACGGAAACTGCACAACGCAGAGATGCAAAGCTAGCAGTTAGTGCCAAATGAGGTAGCTCTTGCACTGGCATTAGTAGAGGTTCACCAACATAACCATGCAGAAGAACTACTGTCCTTGTGGAAATTAAGATGCAATTAGCCTTGGCGGTTCTGGGACCAATCTACTACTTCTGCATGGCACAGCATTTGATGATTTTGTGTAAGCTTGCTAGCTGAGCTGTCGTTAGTAAGGCACAGCTTTGCATAGGGAGAACGTGCCCTGTGCTTCCCCTTACTGATAACTTTTTAAGTGACAGTAGGACAGAACCACCAGCTGCATCCTAACAGCCCTGAATGAAAGATATCAGGTACAGCTGGTCCCCATTTACCAGACAAACAACTTCACAGACTCCATATTTCTATCATCAAACTTACACTCAAATTACTCCTTGGCTCCAAGATCAGTGTCACCTTTGCTTCCCCTTTCTGGCTGATGTTGCTCAGGTAGAACAACTGCTCTCCCATCATCTTCTCTCCAATCATCTTGTGCACCGCATAGAGGCGGAAACGAATGGCATGGCTGCTTAACTCCTCTGGCTCCAGTTTACTAAAGGTAATTTTATCCTTGAAGATGGGGATGGGTCCTCTCTGAACACTTGTCTTACCCCTCTGTTTCTTGCTAGGCATCAGGACTGTGTGCACTTGCCAGGTGTTCACACCACTGCGGTCTTTGTCTGGGATATCCCTGGCCTCCAAGATAGTAACTACTAGCTTTTGACTTGAGGCTTTATAGTTGAAGATGACATCTAGATCACCACATTTACAGATGGGCTCATGAGCAGCACGATGAGCTGGTACACTGTTCACTTCATCATGTTCCTGCAAAGAGAAGGAAGAAATAAAACCGCCATTGGAGTTCAACTGCCTCTTGTGATCCCAACTCTATTTAAAAAAATTGTTCTCCTCACTTGTGCTTGCAAGTGTAGGCAGTTGCTCTGCAAAATAAGGATGCCACTGTTTCTTGAAAGGCCAGTGCTAGTTAATTGCCTGATTTTGTGTAATATTCCCCATATAATCTAGTAAGCAATAATACTTGTAGAAACGTTTCCAACAAAGAGTTTCATCAATATTTAAATGTTCTGCAGGAGACTGTTAATTTGGCAAAAATTCTACATAGAGAAAAAAACTAAACAAAGGGTTTTTTTAAATTTCATTCATTTCAAATCTGAGGCATTAATAAAACTTTCTGGTTTCATTTGGTTAAAAAAAACCCTAAACAAAATATTACTTTGAACATGCATTGGAATTTTTACAAAATGGATTTTTTTTTCATTACCAAAATCAAACAATTCAGTCAAACCTACTAACTTTTTGGATATTTTGTTCTGTTGAAAATTAAAAAAATTAAGCATTGCGTTCAATTTGATGGGAGGGGAAATGATCATGTCAGAATTTCTTGCAAAATGGAAATTCCATTTCTAGAAGATGCTACCCTATAATTCAATACTTTTCCTACAGCTAAAGCAATGATAATGGAGAAAAAAAGTCTGATTAAATACATATTGATTCTTTATTCCCTTTTTAAATCTCCCAAGAGAAGCATCTGTTCCTTCTGTTCAGTTTGGATACTAATACATTCAGAATAAAAATTCAAAATAAACAATCAAAACATGGGCAGACCAATTCACACACAATCTTTTACCTACTTTTAAAACAAAAATCATCTTGATAAAACAAGATAAAAAGCATGGATGCTCACCTTACCTTTTGATGAGTGGGTGTGTGTGTTTCTGTTCAAAAGTGCTTTTTTATCTTAGAGCTAGAATGTGCTCCATGCGATAAAGGGGTTGCTATAGTGATCAATGATTTGTATTTAAACATGAGTTGGGAAAGATTTCCAGTTAATAGCCAGAAGGTGAATTAAGGCCTGTCACTAACAGTCTGAGTCACCCTCCTCCTCAAACATTTATCTTCTTTCGCATTTCAAGTAACACTTCTTTTCAACATAGGACTCTTATTGTTGGGAGTACAGATGATGGACCATAGTACTTCTGGTGTAATTACCTTCAGATGTGTCTAGGGTGGTATATGCCTCAAACAAGACCTCGGACAAACCTCAAAATGTATACCTACTTCCCATCTTTTCAAGTACTTTTCAAGTACTCAGATTCATCTGCCACAACGTGCAAAGCTCTGGCTTTTCGTATTTTCTTAGGTGTATAAAGGATTCATGCACGTGAATACAAAAGTCCACGTGTGCACATTAGTGATGGAGACCTGCTGTCATACGTCTTGTGGAAGTAATGTTAAAGAGAGAAAAATCACCACTTGGCCAACACACAAAATGACTTGGTTGCCCATAAAAATGCCTTTCTGTATGAACAGCAAGCTGCAAAGACAAAAATGCAAGGCAGGTCAGCTTGCCTGGAGAGAACAGGATGTTATGCAAACGGAAGTGCTGTTGTGTAGCTGTCAAGTTACTTCTATCTGGTTGATGAAATAAGATTTAAGAAGGAAACGTAACGGGACTGCGCTCGATTCATGTTTCCCTCCACATGTTTATCCCTCCCCACTTTCATCTGTGCATTTGCTATTGAGGAGATGGAATCAAGGCACATTTCAGAACTGCTGCTAAAGTGTGGAGACACCTGCGATTGCAGCATAACTTCGCTTTCATCTACGTGCATCTCAAATTGTGCTAATATAGCTGTGGACACATCCACTGCAGAGAAAACTG